TGCTCCTCCCCCCAGCACCTCCACACTTGCTCCAACCCCCCAGCACCTCCACACCTGCTCCTCCCCCACCCACCTCCACAGTTGTCTCTCCCCCACCCCCGCACACCTCCACACTTGCTCCTCTCCCCTCCCCAGCACCTCCACACAGACTCTTACCATGACTGGCCCAGCTCACATCCACTCCCCGTCACTTCTCAGTTGAAAGTTGATCTCAGTGTCCTGTGAGTTTTCTTAGCGTCACGTGTGTTTCTTTCTTTTTTTCTTTCTTTTTTTTTTTTTTTTTTTTTTTTTTTTTTTTTTTTTTTGAGACAGATTCTTGCTCAGTTGCCCGAGCTGAAGTGCAGTAGGGGGATCAAAGGACCCCCCACCTCAGCCTCCCAAAGTGTTGGGATTACAGGTCTACACCACCACCCCGGCCTGTGTTACTTTGATTCACCACATTTAACATAATTACAATTTAGTTGTATTTAAAACTTTCCTACATGGACTACAAACTTTCAAGGGCAGAGATTATGTGAGTTTTATTTAAATCTTTACCTGGTCGCCTATCACTGTTCTGGGCACATGGTAAACCAAATGTCTGTTGAATAAATGTATAAAGTTTGGCAGTGGGCTCACACCTGTAATCCCAGCACTTTGGGAGGCCAAGGCAGGTGGATCACTTGAGGTCAGAAGTTCAAGAGCAGCCTGGGCAACATGGCAAAACACTGTCTCTACCAAAAATACAATTAGCCAGGCGTGGTGGCGCATGCCTGTGGTCCCAGCTACTCGGGAGGCTGAGCAGAAGGATCACTGGAGCCAGGAAGTCGATGCAATGAGCCATGATTGCATTGCCGCACTCCAGGCTGGGCGAGACAGCAAGACCCTGTCTCAAGAAATAAATACGTTTGGCAGACCAATATATAATTCACCTCTTTTAACAAGTTTCCATTAAAAAAAAAGATATATACCTACTAACAGTTTTTAGTGATGACTAAAGAGTAGATACTGCTGAGCCTGATGGATACTATTGAGAGAAAAAGCCAAGGGCATCCTCCTCTGAGAAACAACTGAGACATGAAAATTGGAAACACCCAGGAAGTCTGCCGTTGTTTACTGTTATTCTCAACCTCCTGGGCAACACAATATAAAAGGAAAAAAGATTATCTCTAAATTTTTACAAAGAGTCATTTTCAGATACAAGATTGTCTACCTGGAAATCCCAATAATAATACTCTGCAAAGAAGGCCGGGCACGGCGGCTCACACCTGTAAGCCCAGCGCTTCTGGAGGCCGGGCACGGCGGCTCACACCTGTAAGCCCAGCACTTCGGGAGGCGGAAGCAGGAGGATCAGTGGAGCCCAGGAGTTTGAAACCAGCATGGGCAACAGAGTGAGACCTCATCTCTATAAAAATAAACTAGCTGGGCATGGTGGGTGCACACTTACTGTTCCAGCTACTTGGGAGCTGAGATGGGAGGATCTCTTGAGCCCAGGACGTTGAGGCTGCAGTGAGCTGTATTGTGCCACTGCACTTCAGCCTGGGCGACAGAGCAAGACCCTGTCTTTTTAAAAAAAAAAAAAAAAAAAAAAAAAATTTGGAGACCGGGCATGGTGGCTCATGCCTGTAATCCTAGTACTTTGGGAGGCCAAGGCGGGTGGATCACTTAAGGTCAGGAGTTCGAAACCAGCTTGGCCATCATGGTGAAACCCCGTCTTTACTAAAAATACAAAAAATTAGCTGGGCATGGTGGTGCGCACCTGTAATCCCAGCTACTTGGAAGGCTAAGGCAGGAGAATCACTTGAACCAGGGGAGGCAGAAATTATAGTGAGACAAGATCGTGCCACCACACTCCAGCCTGGGTGACAGAGTGAGACTCCATCACACACAAAAAAAAAATTTGGAAAATATTTGGATGTACAAATCTCTGTGTTGTATATGGTAATGCCAATAGCTATTGGAAAATATGGAAAAAATCATACAGCAGCAGCCTTAGAAGCACAATAGCAGAGATGACCAGCAGCCATGCTGCGTCCCGAGGGGAAAGAAAGAGCTTACTGCCCTCCAAAAGTTCCATCCCCAGGGAATTGTTACTACTTGAACTCTCAGGCTCCCAGGAAAACTCTATCTCCAGGTTTGTTGATCCAGAAGAATCGGGGGCAGTTGTTTAACATGGCAGCTGCCTGAGGCAGTGATAGCAGTTGGGACAAACAAGAGGCCAACCCAACACTTTGAAAGGAAAACCTAGGGGATGAGACTGTCCACAGAGGGCTTTGTAAAACTCTGGCATTGCTGGAGTGCTAGACACATGCACGTGCCAGGCTGTGCACATCCCCAGGAAAGACCTCTAAGAGTTCTCATTTCTGGCTGGCGTGGAGGCTCTGAGCAAGCAGGAAGTGAAGGCTAAGAGAGAGTTGTGAGGTGCCTGCTGGAAGGTTGAAGGCACCCAGCACATACACAGGGCCCCTTGGCAACCAGTTGGGAGACCAACTGGTTTGAAGTATTCGAAGAAATCCTTCCAATCCTTAGCTGGCACGTGAGCTAACCCAGCAGGGGCTTCAGAGGCAGCGTGTGACAACACAGCTTCCAGAGACTCCAAGAATGTTACTAAACACAAAGAAATAACAGTGACAACCATCACCAACAACAGAGCCGGGAGAGGAAGAGGGATCTTGTTACAGAGTTGCCACATTGT